TCCAGGCAACCTTAGGCAATTGCCTATCATTTGTACCTAGTGTGGACAAAAGCTTTGCCGTAGGGCCTTTTTTATGAATTAAAGAAGGGAGGGGGTTGGGTCACCCTACCTCAACTTTGGACCTCAATTCAAAAAGTTCCGTAACTTTACCCACCTGGGTCTTTGGGTCCAGGCAACCTTAGGCAATTGCCTATCATTTGTACCTAGTGTGGACAAAAGCTTTGCCGTAGGGTCTTTTTAATGAATTAAAGAAGGGAGGGGGTTGGGTCACCCTACCCCAACTTTGGACCTCAATTCAAAAAGTTCCGTAACTTTACCCACCTGGGTCTTTGGGTCCAGGCAACCTTAGGCAATTGCCTATCATTTGTACCTAGTGTGGACAAAAGCTTTGCCGTAGGGACTTTTTTATGAATTAAAGAAGGGAGGGGGTTGGGTCACCCTACCCCAACTTTGGACCTCAATTCAAAAAGTTCCGTAACTTTACCCACCTGGGTCTTTGGGTCCAGGCAACCTTAGGCAATTGCCTATCATTTGTACCTAGTGTGGACAAAAGCTTTGCCGTAGGGACTTTTTTATGAATTAAAGAAGGGAGGGGTTGGGTCACCCTACCCCAACTTTGGACCTCAATTCAAAAAGTTCCGTAACTTTACCCACCTGGGTCTTTGGGTCCAGGCAACCTTAAGCAATTGCCTATCATGTGTACCTAGTGTGGACAAAAGCTTTGCCGTAGGGACTTTTTTATGAATTAAAGAAGGGAGGGGGTTGGGTCACCCTACCCCAACTTTGGACCTCAATTCAAAAAGTTCCGTAACTTTACCCACCTGGGTCTTTGGGTCCAGGCAACCTTAGGCAATTGCCTATCATTTGTACCTAGTGTGGACAAAAGCTTTGCCGTAGGGACTTTTTTATGAATTAAAGAAGGGAGGGGGTTGGGTCACCCTACCCCAACTTTGGACCTCAATTCAAAAAGTTCCGTAACTTTACCCACCTGGGTCTTTGGGTCCAGGCAACCTTAGGCAATTGCCTATCATTTGTACCTAGTGTGGACAAAAGCTTTGCCGTAGGGACTTTTTTATGAATTAAAGAAGGGAGGGGGTTGGGTCACCCTACCCCAACTTTGGACCTCAATTCAAAAAGTTCCGTAACTTTACCCACCTGGGTCTTTGGGTCCAGGCAACCTTAGGCAATTGCCTATCATGTGTACCTAGTGTGGACAAAAGCTTTGCCGTAGGGACTTTTTTATGAATTAAAGAAGGGAGGGGGTTGGGTCACCCTACCCCAACTTTGGACCTCAATTCAAAAAGTTCCGTAACTTTACCCACCTGGGTCTTTGGGTCCAGGCAACCTTAGGCAATTGCCTATCATTTGTACCTAGTGTGGACAAAAGCTTTGCCGTAGGGACTTTTTTATGAATTAAAGAAGGGAGGGGGTTGGGTCACCCTACCCCAACTTTGGACCTCAATTCAAAAAGTTCCGTAACTTTACCCACCTGGGTCTTTGGGTCCAGGCAACCTTAGGCAATTGCCTATCATTTGTACCTAGTGTGGACAAAAGCTTTGCCGTAGGGACTTTTTTATGAATTAAAGAAGGGAGGGGGTTGGGTCACCCTACCCCAACTTTGGACCTCAATTCAAAAAGTTCCGTAACTTTACCCACCTGGGTCTTTGGGTCCAGGCAACCTTAGGCAATTGCCTATCATTTGTACCTAGTGTGGACAAAAGCTTTGCCGTAGGGACTTTTTTATGAATTAAAGAAGGGAGGGGTTGGGTCACCCTACCCCAACTTTGGACCTCAATTCAAAAAGTTCCGTAACTTTACCCACCTGGGTCTTTGGGTCCAGGCAACCTTAAGCAATTGCCTATCATGTGTACCTAGTGTGGACAAAAGCTTTGCCGTAGGGACTTTTTTATGAATTAAAGAAGGGAGGGGGTTGGGTCACCCTACCCCAACTTTGGACCTCAATTCAAAAAGTTCCGTAACTTTACCCACCTGGGTCTTTGGGTCCAGGCAACCTTAGGCAATTGCCTATCATTTGTACCTAGTGTGGACAAAAGCTTTGCCGTAGGGACTTTTTTATGAATTAAAGAAGGGAGGGGGTTGGGTCACCCTACCCCAACTTTGGACCTCAATTCAAAAAGTTCCGTAACTTTACCCACCTGGGTCTTTGGGTCCAGGCAACCTTAGGCAATTGCCTATCATTTGTACCTAGTGTGGACAAAAGCTTTGCCGTAGGGACTTTTTTATGAATTAAAGAAGGGAGGGGGTTGGGTCACCCTACCCCAACTTTGGACCTCAATTCAAAAAGTTCCGTAACTTTACCCACCTGGGTCTTTGGGTCCAGGCAACCTTAGGCAATTGCCTATCATGTGTACCTAGTGTGGACAAAAGCTTTGCCGTAGGGACTTTTTTATGAATTAAAGAAGGGAGGGTGTTGGGTCACCCTACCCCAACTTTGGACCTCAATTCAAAAAGTTCCGTAACTTTACCCACCTGGGTCTTTGGGTCCAGGCAACCTTAGGCAATTGCCTATCATTTGTACCTAGTGTGGACAAAAGCTTTGCCGTAGGGACTTTTTTATGAATTAAAGAAGGGAGGGGGTTGGCTCACCCTACTCCAACTTTGGACCTCAATTCAAAAAGTTCCGTAACTTTACCCACCTGGGTCTTTGGGTCCAGGCAACCTTAGGCAATTGCCTATCATTTGTACCTAGTGTGGACAAAAGCTTTGCCGTAGGGACTTTTTTATGAATTAAAGAAGGGAGGGGGTTGGGTCACCCTACCCCAACTTTGGACCTCAATTCAAAAAGTTCCGTAACTTTACCCACCTGGGTCTTTGGGTCCAGGCAACCTTAGGCAATTGCCTATCATTTGTACCTAGTGTGGACAAAAGCTTTGCCGTAGGGACTTTTTTATGAATTAAAGAAGGGAGGGGGTTGGGTCACCCTACCCCAACTTTGGACCTCAATTCAAAAAGTTCCGTAACTTTACCCACCTGGGTCTTTGGGTCCAGGCAACCTTAGGCAATTGCCTATCATTTGTACCTAGTGTGGACAAAAGCTTTGCCGTAGGGACTTTTTTATGAATTAAAGAAGGGAGGGGGTTGGGTCACCCTACCCCAACTTTGGACCTCAATTCAAAAAGTTCCGTAACTTTACCCACCTGGGTCTTTGGGTCCAGGCAACCTTAGGCAATTGCCTATCATTTGTACCTAGTGTGGACAAAAGCTTTGCCGTAGGGACTTTTTTATGAATTAAAGAAGGGAGGGGGTTGGGTCACCCTACCCCAACTTTGGACCTCAATTCAAAAAGTTCCGTAACTTTACCCACCTGGGTCTTTGGGTCCAGGCAACCTTAGGCAATTGCCTATCATTTGTACCTAGTGTGGACAAAAGCTTTGCCGTAGGAACTTTTTTATGAATTAAAGAAGGGAGGGGGTTGGGTCACCCTACCCCAACTTTGGACCTCAATTCAAAAAGTACCGTAACTTTACCCACCTGGGTCTTTGGGTCCAGGCAACCTTAGGCAATTGCCTATCATTTGTACCTAGTGTGGACAAAAGCTTTGCCGTAGGGACTTTTTTATGAATTAAAGAAGGGAGGGGGTTGGGTCACCCTACCCCAACTTTGGACCGTTTCCCCGATTAAAATTCCAATGTTAAAATGAAATAGTTGGTATTGTTGTGATTGCATCCTTTTCTTGTTAATTTAAATCAGTGTAAAGAAATTGTTCTTCTGATTTCGGTTTTTCCATCTGTTTCCCGATTTTTTTTTGAATATGCCTCCTTGAAAAGCTTTGATTTGAAAATTTTGTCTGTTAAAGTAGCTAAAATCTTTATATCCATTAAGATATCGTGTCACGTGTGTCATTGTCACATAAAACACATTTCCTATTGAAATGTAATAAATAAATTGCCAGTTTTCAATCATTCCTAACGAAAACTGTGGATATTTATTAGCTTTTATTTCAACTTATAATTCTAACTGCAAAATTCTGTACTTTACGTTCCAAAATCGGTATTTTGTTTTCTTTTAAAAAGAATATAAGCATGTGGATTTAATTTTATCTTTACACTAGTTAAGTATGGTCTAATTTTTTTATTTATTCACTATTATCATGATTATAAAGACAAACCGTTTCTACTCAAAGGTAATCAAAAAAGGGAGAGGAGAACCTAAAAGGAATTTTGAAAATCCTACAAGAGATGTCCTGTGGTCAAGAACAATTATGTTGTCTTGAATATATAAATAAATAAATAAATAAATAAATACCGGTAAACAGTTTTCTATTAATAGTCTTTTTGAAAATGTATTGCATTTCGTCTTCCTACTGGAAATGATTGTTATCAGATTTCAAAGAACGTTTCATGTTATTGCAAGTCTTCGGTTTTTAGGCAAGATCAGTTTGGCGCGTATTTCTTATTGTTCGCTGGCTTATTGTTCGCTAGCTTGATACACCTTATTGTTCGCTGGCTTATTGTTCGCTAGCTTGAGTCTGGTATATTCTACCTGTTGTATATTTCAGCTGAAAATCTGCTAAAAGAACACGCGACCGTACAGTAGAAATGATGACCGATTTATTAGTTTGTTAGGGTGAGGAAAATGAGTAGTTCAATACTACCCGCTCCACAACGAAACCAAAAAAGAAAAGAAAATATAAAAAAAGTTTTCTCAAAAAATTGCAAACTCCGAACTATCTTCCATTCTTATACAGTAGCCTTACTCTTTCCTTTACTTGAAGGGATATCATGCGCTTAACATCCCAAAATGATCCTAAACAGCAGTTGATCATGATTCCACAGGTCAATAACGGATTTTCATTATTAGTTTAAACATATTTTATTGTTCAAAAATGACAAATGGATTAGACACAAGTTTTTCAACTTAGTAACGTCTTCTCCAAATTTTTCATTATTGAAATATGGCAATCACATTAAATGTTTATTTATCATATTTAAATCTACCGGACTTTATAGTTCACGAAGAGTTATATACCTTGTCTTCTGGGAGAATACCTAAATAATCTGAGATTTTGATCACGCGAGTTGAAACTTCTTGCAGGCTGTCAGCTTTTATACAATGTAAGTACCATTTTGTGAATAGTAAAGGAAATAATATTATCTGTATTTTAAAATGCATACTTAAAAATGCCGGAAACATTTACTTCCTTATTTACAACACGCGGAACTATAAATATTCATATATCGACTAATGCATTTCCTGTAGTCTTATTGAAACAAAAGCAGGAAAAACTTCATTGAATTTGTTTATGTTATTTTGTTCTTTAGTTTTTTTTTCAATTTTAATTTTTTGTTTTTTGTTTTTTTCTGGCTTATTTTGTTCTGTTCTTCTCCGTATGTTAGCGTGTTGTTCGTGTTTGTGTGTGTGTGTGTGCACAAGTTGAACACAACAAATGTGATTGCATTTAGTTTATTATCTGGGATCTGTTAGATGAAATGAATAAAAAAAAAAGAACAATTTGTAAAATTTACTGTTGTGTCAGAAGAAAGAATGTCTTATAGGCAGTTGATGATTCAATTAAAGTCTTTTTGTGTTTGATAAAATCAATAAATCGTTTAAATATAAGTTACAATTAAAGTCGCTAAAAATTATTAGGCGTTCGAAAAAATAATAATTTAAAAACCAACAATATTGTTTTCTTCCATATCTATACAATCAGGTGAAAATCCCCAATATTTAAACATTTATAAATAAAAAAAAATCAAAAGTTAAAAATAAACCAGAGTGCGAAGGCCTAACATATATATTCAGATGTTTGAATGTTGGGAATATAATCGATAAATCGTTTAACTATTAGTTACAATAAAAAGTCGAAAAAAATTAAAAGGTGTTCGAAAAACTAGTGATTTATTGTTTTCTGCCATATCGACACAATCAGGTGAAAATCCCCAATATTTAATCATCTATAAATAGTATAAAAAGTCCAAGGTTAAAAATAAACCAGATGGGTATACTGAGTGCAAAGGCCTAACATCTATAAGTCATAGCATGTATATATACACCTTGAGAGTGTTAGCCCGAATGGATGTATCTAATTTACACCAAGATATTATTGTCAATGCAGAATGATAGTTTTCAATAATTTAGGAGGTCTTTCAGCGATTTGATCATATGTTATTGAAAAGCATGATAAATGAAGGCTAACCAATTTCATTTAACGACATCTTGGTGTAAATACAGATAAGATAACAGTTTTATCAAGTAAAGGAAAACATAATCAGCCATACCTTTTAATGGGAGAAGGGGGGAATCGGCCTTTATTAAAACAACAAACTATTGTTTTAATAACATACTGGAACGAGATTTCTTTTTTGAAACATTTTAACATCGTATTTTTTGTTCCTATTTTCTATGGAATTAAAATCTTTGTTCCGCTTCCATTCTGAATGAAATTACTTCTTTTCAAGTACTTTTAAAATAAAAAAAAAATATTTTAAAAAACTTGATTCCTAAAAGATGAATGGTCGTTGCTTAGGTCTTTAAGTATTGACAAAATTGGGTGACCAACACAATTAGAGATAATAGGTTAAATTAGGATCCAGCAGTCTTACCTGTGTAAACATACATCACAGACATACAACAAAACTGATTAAAAATTTCAAACAAGCAAAAGATAAATCTAAAAAAGACGCCAACAAAAATGTTTTTATAGGTGATAGTAAATTTGACAAAGACGCCAACAAAAAAGTTTTTGTATTTGATAGTACATACAGTATATAGTTTACACTTTCTCGATAAAGTACAACTTAAGTAAAAAATAAGGGTAAACAAAATGTAAACAACACTGTAAAAACTTCTTGCGCCCGAAATGCATCCTACTTGATACGATTGTTTTATATTGCATCATGTGTAATTGACCACATTGTACATTTTGTACTGTTATTTTGATTCAACTTATTTTATTAGAGAATGGGACTCTTTTTTCTGCCATTGAACAACAGCATCAAATATTAGCTTGAAATACACTTTATAATGTAATCTACAGACAATTTTGTTCCTCAATAATATAGCGTTGTGGAACATGTCGCTATGACGTAGTAAATTTGTTTAGTCTTAATCTAGAACAGGATAGTCTGAATAAAACTTGTCGAAATCTAATATGAAAAGAACTTTCACTAAAAATAATTATCCCTTTTTGCAGTTAATTCACCATAAACAAATCGTTTCTTGATAAAATACATAAAAACTGGAATGAAGATATTGAACTTATTTATTGCATTGTCTAGATTGTATAGAAGATTCTTCAAATATGGAGTCTGTCTTCAATTTACTTTTCAATCTTATTTTAACTTTAAAAGTAAGGTAACGAACGTTCCCCGTCATCCCATCTAAATACTACAAGAAAAAGAAATGAGGGATTCATGTCATGTCCTTTAGGAACACTACAAATAATAGTTTGTTTTTTATCAGAAGTGTATACGGTTTGGTTTCTGAAATAGTTGTACATTGTATATAAAGAAATAATTTAGATATCATGAAAATGATGTCAGTAAAGTACATTTTTAGTTCACGATTGTTCACAAGCCTGTATGTTTTGGTGATACAGCTCTTCAAGTGTTTCGGGTCTTATACATCCTTTGCGTCCAAATGTTTGGTTTAAGCGGTCCTGATGAAGGTAAATCTAGAAAAGCACTTCTTAATCATACAATTTAATAGTGTTTTTGTTGATTTTAATAGAAAATATCTGTATCTATCATCTGTGACTATTTCTATTGTTTCATCTTTGACAAAAGTCGCGAAAACGAGACTAAGCCTTCTGTTTCCGGCGGCGATGGCGACGACATAAAAAATTGTTTAAATTTGTGATTACGTTCCACCTGCAAAATATATCTCTGTATTGACAGCTAATATTATTTTCTACAGATTTGATATTTGCATGGAGAAATAAACAACATACAGCATGGTTCCAGATGACAAAAATATTAATACTATAGTTGTTCATACGTATACGTAAGTTGAAATCCATAAACGCACTTGACAAAACCTTAAAGCTTAGAAAAATGTTCTTCATTACAAATTCATAGTGAGACCTTCAACAAGGAACAAGGGCTTATACCTTACAACAAATACTAGACAACATCTAGCACCAGTTTGAGTATTTCTGTAGAAAAAGTAATGTATCAATACTTACATAAAAAAGAATTTTGCCTCTGTATTTTCGATAGGATCTCATGCAACAAGTCATCAGTCGTGCAGAAAAATATATGTTGCAAGACCAAATATGAATACAGAATTCAAATACAGAGACAAAAAAAAAAAGAAAATGTTTAGTTCTGTTCAAAACTGCAAATAAGAGTGTCAATATCAATCTCTACAATTATAAGATGCAATATTATTTCGGAGCAACAGGGTACTAGTAATCACAACATTTGCCAATAGGCCACACTATTCAGACACCCAGAAAAAAATATTTTAAGGCAAATCTTACCTTTTTTGTAGAAATAGCATTACCTGAAAATGTAAAAAAAAAGGTTTTTTTTTAATTCCGATTCATTTTGAAATCTAAATCAAATGGTTAAGTTTGCTTTTATATTTTTAGAAATTCATTACAATCAGAGAATACAAGAACGGACAGAGGTAATCTATTGAATTTAATAATTATACCTTAACTGGGTGGTCCCTAATTGTGGACTGCATTTATTGTTATTGCTGCGACATAAATTTCAAACTTTTTTATGGTAACATATAATGTACTTGCATATAAAAAACTGCTTTTCACTAAATACATTTAATTTTAAATATATAATGGACATTTTGTAGGTTTATCATCTAGTAATGAATAAAAAATTATTCTTCTTCGAAAATATATTCTACTGCTATGGGTAACTGTTTGAATACTCCTGAACAAAATTTTGGACGAAGAAATCTATCATAATCAAATTCATATCAGACAGTATTACTGATTTTTAAAATAAGATTTTACCATTATACTTTCAATACTGCTCTTGATATTAAATTTACTGTCTACACTGAATATAAAAAAAACTGAGACAGAGAGAGTATATACAAAGCTATCATAATTAATTATGCGTTCAACATATAATTCAATTTTTCAAAGAAGAAATCATATTATTCTAAACTGAGTATAGAAGAAAATACCGAGGAGGCTATCAAAAACTGTAAGTCGATGAAAAACGAAGAGAGGACAAACAAGACCACAAAGCACGACACAGAAAAATAAATATCGAAAAACACGAATAACCGGACTTGGATGCTCTGGTAGGAACGGTTTACCCTTTTAGGGCTTTCGAGTTAACTTATAGTTTTTGATTGTCCCTTTTCCAGCTTTTCCATTTTTGATGCTTTTTTTTAATCAAGTTAAATTATTAATCATTATTATAAGTATTATAATTCAGGCAAAGTTTTGTATGCATTTTTATCAAAATTTAGATTCCAAGTCGAAAGATGACGTAGAAATATCTGGAAATGAAGACAGCGATTTCGTATCATCCATCGATGAAGACAGCAGTAATGAAGTTTTAAACATCACCGAAGGTTCGAATCATTACTGTCTTGATGCAATAAGATTGATATGCACTGTTTAATAGTTAATATATCTTACTTATATCATTTCATATTAATGTGTGCATCTGCCTCATACATAGCTCTGATTCCTTGGCCGAGTTGGCCTACTTTTTGATCTTTTTTATTTTATTAGTTCTTCATCGTTTGTTATAGGGTTTTGACTTTCAAATATTTTGGCCCCGATCATCACTGAAGAGACACTAATTGTTGAAATGCGCATCTAGAAATAAATTACTCCACCGAAAGATATGTTTTTTAAAGTAAATTATGTGTGTTTCTCTGTGATATTTCACTAGTCTGAATGTTGAACGTCCAGTGGAAAATGTTAAATACATATCAGGACAAAAAGAGGTAAATTGTTATATGAAAATACAAACTGCTTTGCATTCTTGACCTGCACACGGTGCCAAATTTTTTCAATATTCCGAAGGAAGACATTTCACCCTATAACCGGACACAGTATTCTGACACCGAGCCAACCAATTTTTGCATAACTCTCATGCCGCGATCTTAGCTGAAAAGCTACCAGTTTGCAAAATTTTTCATTGACCCGGCCGGGGTCGAACCCACAATCAACTAAATATACCTTAAACATCCTGATAACACTTAAATCAAGTAGAATAATGTGAGAAAATCCATTCTAATAGGAGAGTCATTCAACGTTGGACTTTTATGAGCTTGAAGACAGTTTTCTCCTCCTGTCTTACATATTCCTCCAGAATATAAAAGATGAGAATGAGACTCTTCAACTAATGAAGATAGATAGAGATACTGTTAATGATTTTCGGTACAAAAATCAAGTTTTAGTTCACCAACCCTTTTCATTTTGGATTCATTCCTTCTAAATAACTAATATGACAGTTGTTTTTCATTCGGTCTGTTGGTTAATGTTGTCGAGCGTTTTATTTTGTCGGGTTTTGTAGATTTTCCCTTTTTGTGTTTACATCGGAGTTCGGTATATTTGTTAATACTTTTGTTCTTATCCCTATTGTTATAAAGGAATGACTTTGTTTCATGTTGTTTTCTTTTGTTTTTAGATTCCCAATCGAAGGAATACCACGAAATAAATGGACAAGAAAACAATTGTGACAGTGATTTTATATCGTTCCTCGTAGAAACCAATGATTTTTTGAACAACAGCAAAGGTACAAACCATAAAAGTCTTTTTGCGATAAGATTAAGTTACTCATTATGATCATTTTGCCATATAGTTTATTTGATATGTCGATATGTTTTATTTTTTAGTTCAACATTCCACTTGTTAGTTAAAACAATGTGTTATAGTTGCGATTTTTGGACATAACCCATACATACTCTTCAATTTGACTGTTAAAATTGTGACTCTTCGACAATTGTACATCTGGCCAAATACATGCAAGGGATTGTTCATTTCCTCATGTATATTTACGTCATTTAATTTTCATGCTTTTGATGTAACCGAGTTAAACAGCTACACGTAAAGGTCCCTTTTCCACTTTTAAAAACGCGTCAACTACTGTCTATGTTAACTTAATGTTTTGTATATTTTCATATTTGATGTTCAAGTAAGATGATTCGTATTGTCTATTAAATGTATTCATCACCCGTCTAATCGGCAATAATTTGACATTGATATATGGAATATTCAACGTGTATATTGTTGCAAACAAAATTTGCCGTCTAGCTGTCTTTTTGTTATTTTCGTGGGATGTGTTTATATCATCTCCGGCTTAATATGTAAGTTGTAAATGTCAAAGGCTTAGACCATATCATGCATGGTATCTAAAGGTCCAGTTATTTGATTCTTACACAAACATTCGGTATATTTACTTATTATATTATACTTTTTAAAAAGTTAACCAAAAACACGTTTACTAGGTCACAGTGGAAATTCAGATGTTGATGGAATGCTAAATGGTTCTGATTTTGACAAAAACATCCTGCGTCCAAATGGTTATGGCAAAAACTTAACGAAAAGAAATGGCTATGGTAACATTCACGACAGTCGCGGAAGACCCGATGGTTGTGAGGCCAAACAGCGAAAATCAAGGGGCATAATACATGAAGCTATAGGTGTTTCTGACATAAACGTTGGAAAGGCAAATTGTCTTTACGAAACCTGGTTAAAAAGAGATTGTTTTTACGAAACCCAAGATACAGCAGTTGGATTTGAGATAAAAAATATTAACGAAAATGCATTTGACGGTAGCAGTAACCGAGAAGATCCAGATGGCTGCGAGGAAGACACAAGAACTGACATTATCCATGACAAGAAACAAAATTGTAGCATATTTTGGGAAATGCAGATGATTTCACGAAAATCATTCGACATGCAGCTTTTCCTTTGGAAGACAGATACTATAACATTGGTTTGGATAATCGTGAAAATAGGGATGGTTATAACAGCTACAATAATGTCTATCGTAAAATTGGGGATTGTTGTAACAGCTACAATAGTGTTTATCGTAAAATTGGAAATGGTTGAGATGAATCTGGTCAATGAAGTGGATACCTGCACGAACGCAAGCCAACAAGGACAATTTTTATTTGTTTCAGGTAAAAGGTTTTTAATTAAGAATAAATATACCCACAGTTGAACAATGATTAGAGAATTGTAAAGAATGATGCAATTTAAAAACATTTACACACAAAAATTACGCTAAAGGATAAAAACAAAGTGATCAGACACATTTCCTTTTTCCTTGAAATTTTATTCCTTTTTTGTATACATTAAGTAGTTAAATTTTTGCCTTTATTATTGTAATTGATATACTACTTGACAAACTATCTTTAAAATTAATATTTGCATGCATTTACAAAATATGTAAAAATAAAATATATATCAATAACCCAATAAAGTTACAAAGTTCAGGAGAAAATGCGCTTCAATTCTGTTAATGCTACATACACACTAAGTTTACATATTATAATAAGGTTAAGATTCCTTGACATCTATGGAACAACTGTTTACTGACATTGTATATTGACAAAATATGCTGATGATTACCATACTTGGTTTGTTTTAATTATTCAGATATTGAGAACCCCAAAGAAGACCATATACATAGAAAGGTGAATTATGCAATTCTTTCCAAGGAGAGCAAAGATTATATTGAATATAAAAAGGAAGATGACGAAATGCAAGAAAAAGAACAAGGTCTCGTTATTATTGATATTGATGATAAAGAATTAGTTGTTGAGGTCCAAAAAGGAAAATATAATATTGAGAGTAAACATGCATCTGATAACAGTCAACAAAATGAAGATGGTATAAACAGTAGAAAATCAGTTGTTGGAGGCCAATGTATAGACGGTAACTCTGATGGTAAAAGGGTAATTGGTAAAATGCAAAGAAAGGTTGGTGATATGGTTGGTGCAAAAGTATGGTTAGAAAATTCGTTGAAAGAAAATGAAATTGTTGGTGAAAAGGCAGTTGGTGATATATTAGAAACAGAAGACTATTTCAATGATGAAATGGCAGTTGTTGACATCCGAGGAAAAACCAATGAACTTGTTTGTCAAAGGGTCGATGAAATTCTGGGTAAATCCGATGATTTTAATGGCGAAAGGCTAGCTGCTAAGGTAAAAGAAGAATATATTAACATTGGTGGTGAAAATACAGAGGAAGAAGATGAACTTGAAGCTAAGACGCCTCTTAAAGAAATCCAAGGAAAACATGTTGATATTGGCGATTATAAGGCAGATGATAAAATATTAAGAAATGATGATCACATAGATAGAAAAAAGGTATCATGTGAATCTGTAGAAAAGAATGAAGAGACAGCTGGTAAAAGCCAACGACATAATAATGATTTTGATGGTGAAAATGTAGGTATTGAAATCGCAGAAAAAAATGATGATACTAACTGTAAAAAGGCAGTTGGTGAAATCCTAGAAACAGGTGATGATGTTGATGGTGAAGAAACAGCATGTTGGAACTCAGAAAAAAACGAAAAATGTGGTGATGTTGGGGGTTCAAACGATATGAATAAAATGCAAGAGGAAGAAAAAAAAGAAGAGATAATTCCAAGGCGACAAAAAGAAAATATCAATGATAAAAGACCAGTTGGTGGCAATATAAAGGATATCGATCATACAAAAGCAGTGAATGAAATGGGAATCGAAGATAATTTAAAAGACACCAAATTATTTGATGATCAAGACGACAAAGGAGATAATGGTAGTACCACAAACGCAGTTGTCGAAATTCAAGAAGCAACGTCTAACAACATAAATGAAATTGTTGAAATAAAAGCTATCCGAGATAGTTTAGATAATACGAAATCAACAGTAATTAAGAAGTTCAAAAAGGACATCCCTACTACTGACAAAAACATTAAAATGCCTTCACTGATCAGCATTTGTCCAAATGGTGAGCTTTAAAATATTGACAAGTCTTTTTATATATGAATAGCTCTGAATTTGTAACCGTATATATACTTTCTTTCAATTATAATTTTTATATCAGACAATTCTATAGGAATAAAAATTTATGTATTGTACTTTTTAAATAGTTGAAACGCAAAATGTTCAATGTTAATGTGTAATTTTTTAAGATATCAGATATATCAGCAACAGCCTTTTGTCTGCAAAAATAGATATTTGAAAAGATAAAACCTTCACAAGATGTAAAAAGCAGTATAAAAAGGTAACTGTAATAACTTATTTATTTTTATCTATTTTTAGGCAACAATTTCCATCAAGTTGAACGATCCCGTTCGAAAACCGTACATACCCCAAGGTAATATTATATTTAGGACGAAATATTCGACAATGAACTAAAACATTTCATTTCCGAAAAATTAAGCAAATCAAATTTAATCATATCATAGCTTATTGAATAGTAACACAAAAGGTATTGAATTCGATGTAATTTCTTTCAAGATTTAAGTGGAATAAGAGATAAAGAAAACCAAAAACATAAAAACCTCTATCTTGATAAGGCAGATTTGATTTTTGATTTTATATTCCAGGGATAGGAACCATTTCGAAAAAGTTATTTTATTGCTTGTAATATATGGAATACCTTTGGCAGGAGGAGCAAGTAATGAACTTTCAACTAAAGGTAATGCTCATTTGGATTCATCATTGTCGAATTAAACATTTCAGTTATGTTGAGCACGAATATATTGACAAGAAGCTTGCAATTACTAAATATTAATTTTGATTGAAGTAATGAACTGACATAAATGAACGCCCACAAAGAAGAACGAGAAAAATAAATAAAACAAAAAGAATTTGATTGTATATTGCTGACATTTGTTTGATATAATGTCAATTTAAAAAATAGGATAAAAGCATATTATTTCGAGGTCTTCTAAAACTACAAGTTTCTTAAATATTTCGAGTGTCACTCGTGGATCTAGAACCATTGATTTGCCAAAGCACCCTAGTTCTTGCAAGTTTTGGTTGTTAAGTTTTTTTGCTTAAATTTTAGTTTCTGTGCAGTATTTTACAGAAGTTTGGTTATAAAATTGAGAATGGAAATGGGAATATGTCAAAGAGACAACAACCCGACCAAAGAGCAGACAACAGCCGAAGGCCACCAATGGATCTTCAATGCAGCGAGAAAATCCCGCACCCGGAGGTGGTCCTCAGCTGGCCCCTAAATAAAATTGTGTGCTAGTTCAGTGAAAATGGACGTCACACTAAACTCCAAAACAAATAAATGAACTAAAATTAAAAAACATACAAGACTAACAAAGGCCAGAGGCTCCTGACTTGGGACAGGCGCAAAAATGCTTAGTCTTCATTTTAAAGAAACAAAAAGGTAATTGTGCATCAGAATTATCCACTGGTCATTTGCCATCAAAGATAAATAAATACTTGCACACTTCTTGAACTTCTCTTAAAATAATAACAATATTTTTTGTAGTAACTTGGAGTCTGCAGACACATCCAGCAGTATTCGGGAGTAATGCTACTCTCTGTTGTATTATTCAAAATCCAGATATTAGTCACATGGCATGGGTAAGAGATCCAAATGCAATGATAGTGGCAACGGGAAATAGCCCATCGAATCCAATGAAATATTCGGCATCGGTAGAACCAAGAGGAAACATTACGTACTATAGGCTGACAATTATCAATGTTGATATGACAGATGTTAACATCAACTATAAATGTGAATCGGGGTTTATCTTCCTTGAAAAGAAGTTAGAACTGAAAGAAGAAAGTTTTGTTAGTAAGTCAACTTCTTTATTTCTTTATGTATTTGCAGTACAAGTATGAAGACTAGAAGAAAATATGAACGACATAATTCACATTGATGAATACTTTATTTACTTTTTCTAGTTGCCCTTTGTGAATTTTAGAATTCCAGTGGTCACATTTGAACGAATCGTACACTTCGAGTTGACATTTTTTTCAACCTTGGACTGGTTCTGAATGTTCAGAAAGATAATCATAGACTTTTCATCTGCCTCGAACTGTGTTGTTGTATTAATGTAATGCTCAAGAAAACTGTGCAGGGCTTGGGTTTTAACATTTTTGTAATACATCTTTCTCTTACTGAAAAAAACTAACCGATTCCTGTCCTTAGTTAACCAATTTTGATCTGAAACGGTCAATTTGATCTGAACAGCTCTTAAAAGTGTAAATCATCACTTATGAAGTTTTTCAGTAAATTTTCAGACTGGTCCACTGTAACAAATTCAGTTTTGTTCAGACAATTTGCTTGTAGTCAATTTAGATCTGTTCAGACTGTTGTTATTTGTTTTTTACCTGCCCACATCAACATCATACTGAATTGTCTGAAAAGCTACTGAACAGTATTGAATTTACTGCAAAAGAATTGTTTGAATAGTACAGAATTTATAGTATTGAACGAAAGACTAAACATGGCTGAATAATTATTTGTTCTGACTTTTCAGATGATGTTAATATCAAAATGACTTTTTAAGACTAAAATTCATTTGCTAGTGAGTTTGTTGTTCAAACACTTGTATATCTGCGGAATAAGTATACCCAGATACCACCCATAAACACTTGTATATGCATTGTCGAAATCTCTTGTGGACATATCGCTATAGTGATTGCATTATATGGTAATTTAAAGGCAAAGAATACATATCATACATTATTTCTTTTCAGTGAAACCTTCAAGCAAAGAAACTGCTATAAATATTACAAGAGAAAATGGAATGATCACAGTTTTATTAGGAATACGAAATCTGTACCCCAGACCAGATTGTTTTTTCTCATCAAAGGTAAACAATTATTTTCTTATTACACGATTTATAAAAAAAAATAATACTATCGTTAACAATAAAAAAGATTTCATAAAATAAGAAAGATTTAACACAACAGGAACAACAATATCAAATATATAAAACTAATATTTCTAATAACTACACATTAACATCATAGTATCAATCAATATGAATGGTAAACACATTGTAAAATTTTCACTTTATTTCTCTCCTGAACAAAAGCGTTTATCAATATGACGGGATCGGATAAGCTTTTAATCAATTTTGATTAGTGACAAAATAACAGAGAAATCAATGAACGAATAATTTGCAAGGTGTAATCTTGTAGGAAATTCATATCTTTTAAATAATGAAAAATTCAACATAAATTAAGGTTTGGTATTTTGTCCTTTTGTGAGCTCTGGGGATCAGAAAAAGATAGTAAACTGTACTAGGGAGAGCTAATTAGTACAACATACATTCACGAAGGCTAGGGTACTTAAGTATAAGTTGTCCTCGAAAGACCAGTGTATGCGTTACAAATATTGTAATCGTTACTAATATTCATGTAATTGGGCTATTTCTATATCTCGGGACTAGTCAAAATTTCATCTTTAGAATATTTTGTATCTAAGGGTCTGGCGTGTTATGTCTTGTAATACTACGGCAAAATCATATTCCGAAAAGATACGATCTAAATTGTATAAATTAAAAAAAAGGTCAAGCTGGCTGACAAGTTTCGGGGTATTATTTTCCTGACGACATCATCACACGCTTGAAATTTCTTTGACAAAGAAAGTGACAATTTAGACACTTACCCAGGAGACTGCATGCAGAGTTTACTACCTCAGAAGATTGTGTTTTGTCTATAAATAGCGTTTTTCAGACGAATAATAGTAATAATAATAAAGGTAACACAATGTCATGTTTTTCAACTTGAATTGTTGGATATGAACAAACCAGGATGTCATTGTTTAGCAGTCAATGATGATGCATATGATTATTCATCGTAATTTGTAATTGATAGGATTGAAGGACAAATATTGACAGACTTTGTATTATTCAAATGAAGTTCATTGTTCTTTTAAGAATTTTAAATGAAAAAGGTTAAGATATGGATCAGAGGGTACATTTTATGGTGTCGCTTCTGATCGGTGTATCTTATTCATATCAAATGTTTAGTCTGCTGAATAAGACCTTCAAGCATCGTTTAAGATAGAAACCCTGTAATGAAAGCGTTGATATTTCTTACTTATTATAATAAGTTTATTTATTAATTAATTATAATAAGTATTATTTTTTCATGTTTTCTTACTGAATAATATGTTTAATCATGGGAACTATGGGTGTAAATCCAATATATCGAATAATTAATACATTCGCTTAAATCTACTAAGTCGAAACTCAAAGTAAATGAAATGGTACTTGCACAGTTATAATATCATTTTTCTTATTTTCTTTATAGAAGGAGAAAATTAATGGTAACGTTTCTTTAGAAGAAAAAGGGAAACTTTTCAACGTAAAAATGACTTTCAGTATAAGCGAAGATATGTGCGAAAAAAACATCAGCGCGTATTGTGCTTTAGGACAGGAAACAGTATCCATTGACTTACCTTCATCTAATAATAGTAAGTAATGTCAGTAATTTGATTATATAAAAAGAGCTTAAAGTAGATTTGTAGGAAATTTTACTCTAAGAAGGTTAACATTTTAAGCAATTTTTGTTATGACTGTTTGGTTGTTAGTTGATCAAAACGTGTTTTGATTGTTTCCTGCTCAAAACTTTTCAAAATTCCATAATGTCATAAAATTCCCAGTCAGTTCACTTATTTTAAACTAAGACGGCATGGGTGAAATGTAACAACACAGAAAGAATAAAATGAATCGAGTAAATTTCATATAAACATCAAATAAAGCCTGAGTATTGTCCCGCAATCAGCAGATAAGTCGAGTCTTAAACTTATCTTCGGAGATTGTGGTAAGATAGTATCTTTTTATATAATTGACTTCGTTATTTTGACAAATTAAGTATTCAGATGTTATATGTACTCTGTTAAACACTAAAATTCGTGATTAAGATATTACCACGAAATACAGGCAGATCAAAACCTGACTATTAATTACAATGAATTCACAGTATACTGTACAAAATTGCCACGTTCTTTATATATAGCAATGATATTTCATGTCAGCTTGTGATATCATCGAGAGCGAACCGTCCACCAGCAGTGGCATCAAATCAGTGGTTGACCAAACGTTTGAACAGCAAAATATATAAAAATATTTGAGAGCATCAAATCCAATAAAAAGCTTAAAACAGAAAACTAAAGTATACTTTGACTGCGGAAGCTGTTTTGCATGTTAATCATCCCTTCGAAAATTTTACGGACGCCATCACGACGTATACGCCAACATGACGTATGTGTTCCAATTGTCTTAACCATAATCAAGTCCTCTTTTCATCGAATGTGACCTACCAAAATTAGACTAATCACTGCGTTTGTACTTGCATTAGCAACACGACGGGTGACACATGTGCAGCAGGATATGCTTACCTTTCCTGGGCACATGAATCCACCCCAGGTTTTTGGTGGGGTTCGTGTTGCTCAGTCTTAAGTTTTCTATGTTGTGTGTTGTAAACTGTTTGTCTTTGATCGTTTTTCATTTTTTGACATGGCATTCAGTATGTGTTCGACTTATTAGTTTGACTACCCCTTTAGTGTCTTTTGCCTTTCTCTTCTAGTATCCTCTGAACTGATAGACACCAAATCGTATCTGGCCTTTTGATAGTAAGATAATACATTACGTCAATTTGTTTTGCAGAACACACACACACACACACATTTGTTTCTTTAAAATTGATAAAGATAATAATCCTATTCAACTATGATGAACTTTTTTTATATAGATCTACAACTGATCGAATTCAAAAGTGGGAGGTTTAGATCTCGGGCAACAAGGTTAATAAGACACTTGTCTTTTCTTGAAGACCGAATTTTGAACTTCTAAGTGGCATTATTTTCATTTTGTTTGGTTGTTGCCTCATAGAGGTATATCCTTTCATTCAAATATTTATTAACATAATGGTTATATTTCAAATATAAATGTACTTTTCTGTCAGTGCTTTATTTACAACAAACCATATATTGGGTTATTTTTGCGTCAGATTTGGTTCGCAGTTTGGGCCATATATTGGACAGTCAATTCTTCGATGTGTTTATTATATTTAGGCACACTAACTAATTATAAGATGTACGGCATCCTGAGCACATAAGTCCCTTCAAAAATGTGGAGAAGATCCAAGATTGTAAATTTTGAAGTTTACAACTAAATTGTTTTTTTTTTTTCCTGCTTAAATAAGAATATATTCCGAGCTCAAGAATACAGTATTTGTTTTTTTTTTGTTTTTTGTTTTTTGTTTTCTGTTTTTTTTTAAAGAATACAAACTGCATTTTATCAAAATGTTTCTCCGTCCGAATATTACTCATTTTCTTTATTAAACAAACAGCTGCATAAAGATATTTAAAGCACATTTTAGAGATAGCATGTACTAGTTTTATAATTTATTATGTATGAAAAACAAATGAAACAGGTCAAAAGTTTTAAAAGTTTCCATACAGTAATTGTAATAATCTTTCGGTCTCTCTCATAGTATTTTCTGTACTCACCCTTATATTGACATTTCTATACAGATGGGGTAAAGGTTTGTGTGAATATTGTTCTGTAGTCTTTGAAAATTTGATTTAATATTTAAAGAAATTCTACAATATGTTTTAGGTTGGACCCACCGATGCCTTAAAGATAGACATGGAGATAATTCCGTCTTAATAGTTACTGTGATAATCAGTATAACGCTGGTATTTATTGTATTACTCATAGGTAAGTATAACTGCCACATTAGCTTACAAGTTTTCCAAAAGGCTCAGTCTTGTATATAACGTATCACTCTTATGTTTTAATAAAATTACATGTAACAAAAAAGTATGATTTATATATCATAATTTCAATTCTATTTTTCTCAGAATTATATTAAAATAGTTACCTAATATTAAAATGCAGAGGCAAGAATTTAATATTTGAACATGGTATATCTTCTGATCATATTTCACCTTTGTGCATTTAAATAAAAATAAATACGAGTAAACGTCAATGAGACAGCAACGCAGTCAAAAGATAAGGGTGACATATGCTTACTGCCTCTGACAATATGAACCTATGAATTAAGATATGTATACAATATTTTAGAAGTTTATAGTACACGTCAGTTTACCTTATATAAGGCACTAATGATTTTTTTTTTATTAATTTTAGGTTTGTTGTTAAAGAAATATTTTGCCAGAAACTGCAGCTATGCTTTTAAACTGGTTTTAAAATCCGAACAACCAGTGTTTGTACATGTATAAACGATAATTAAAAATAAATGGAATTTTGTATTGTCTTTTTGAACTGGTTCAAAATTTTAAAAATGCATCAATGCTCAAGAGCTATCTACCGAGACAGAGTCAAAGGAATCAAATTACGCTATGTACATGTTTACATAATTTTAATCGAAGCACAAATGTAACGTTTATTTTGATATAGGTGTCGATTCTTGTCTCAAAACATACCAAGGGAGCAAAGCATATATGGTTGTGGTGCATGCTCCAAAACTAAGATTGTAAGTTTAAAAAAAAATCGTTAAGATAATGTTAATCCAGTATTTACTTACAAAGGTAAAAGTTATTAATATTGTAGTTTCTTTACATATCTAGATATTGTATTTATGTCATATGGTTCTTTCTGCTTTTATAGGAAGAAAGTTAGAAATGCTTTGTATAGCATATTTAAGTTAAGTAGAAAGTTGAATATACCTGCTGTATTGTACAACATGCATGTAAAGCATTTTTTTCCTTTTTAAATGGAATTCTTGGATTGCAATGGGGTTTTTTTTCTTCTGAATACTGGCTATAACATACATCGTAGTGTATCTGTATCTAAAAATGTAGGCTTGTCTTTTATGTTTAAAACCAAAATCTAATTAGGTTTGTCTAGTATGTTTAAACAAAGATTGTGTGATCAGTTTAAGCAGACATAATATTGAAATGTATTAAATACTGCTTAAAGTCTTAATTATCGAATATCTAAATATTCTCATAAGTTTGAAGAATATTTTGGTGAACTTTCTTATGACTCTGAAAAGTTTTTTTTTTAAATTAAAGATTCCTCATCCATAGATTGAAAATTGAGGAAGGTCGGTTTTGGGAATAGTTCGTCACAATCGCATTTGTGATATATGTAATATGAATAGTATTGTGATGAATACTATTATTTGTATCTCTATTTTATGATTTAATAAAAGTGTTTATACAATAAAACCAATTATTGTTCTGATGAACCATTATTGTCTTACAAGTTTATTGTTTAGTTTGTTTATTATGTTATAATAATTACATTGTAATTAATCTGACCTTCAAAGGAAACATTGATTGGTTAATTAAATTATCATCTGTATCTGTTTAAAAGCACTTTTGTTTTGAAAATGAAAGATACAATTTTTTTAGTCTTACCTTTTTTAAGAAAACAAACACTGTACAATTTTATGTTAATTGGGATGTAAAAGATAGTAAAATTATCTTATCTGTTGTAAATTTAGAAGTATATGTATATATATCAGCAATTACTGATTTAATATCCAATTTTTATGCTATATTTTTTACAGGAAATGGTTATAGCCTCTATACTTTTACACATTATAAAATCGTATACAATTATGTCACAGTGTCTACATATATATCATGTATATAGTGTTGGTTAATTATATATGCAAAAGTAGTATGTGTATATACTAATTATTTCTTATAAATAATGTAATTTTTATGACTATAAAAGTTCAAGCTTAGAATCTATTTGTATAGGTTATAAACTTTATGTAATGGTTATATTTTATTTGATATATATGACATATCTAATAAATCTTCAATCTTCAAGTTTTAAACCTTTTTATATATAGGCTAATTGCAATTATTTTTAACTTAAAGGAATCCGAATAAAAGTCAGGGGTGAACGTCGGTAATCCTGAAGGGTAAGACGTTCAAGCTCTACTATGGACAACGTCGTGTTACTCATTGCAAGTATGAGTCAATGATAAGTCGCATTCAATAACGTCAACTTTCACAATTACATCACTCATCCATTCACCTCAGTCATTACAGCCGAACAGACGTGCGCATACCTTCCTAATACAGCGACATGGTTAGCGGACTGCCTTCTAATCTACTTGGCCCTGAAAATAGCCGTTGTGAGGTGCAGTTAACCGACTCAAAATAGTAAAGAAACCAAATACAACTTACGTAAAACCAAAATGGCCGCCTCCTGCCTGACCAACTTTTGACAATAGCAACATCGTATTAAAAGCTCACCAAAAGCCCCCAAGGACACCGAGCTGATTGTGCGCTGGCTGTAAAGCCAGTCAAAGACGTAAAATCAACAATAATATCACAATCGAGATGATAAAGTGACAAGTGGATTATATCTGCAGTCATCTGAGACAGATATATTCCATAACAGTCAACCAAATCATGGTGGACTCCTTACATTTTATAATACGGAGGTACTTTTGATAAAATAAAATATTTCAAAAACATAAGTATTCTGTATTTTGTTAATTCTTTTTGATGCATAAGCTGTCAAGCAGGATATAATGTTACTATTGCATCAATAGTTTTTGAACAATAATCAGGACCTTTTCCATGCTACATGCATCAGCATTTGGAATATGAAGGCAAGTAAGAGTGTTAATAAAGTTTACCAATAAAATTTGTGTGCTACATTTTTATATCAAAGTCTGTACATTCAAAGTAACATGTTGATTTTTTAGTACCGGTAAAATGTATTACAGTTTACATTCGATAGGTTTTGTCTTTTCACCACACCAATTAGCTTAAATGTTTCTTCAAATTGCAGTACATCTCTTCAAAATAATATTTTTTTTGCATATTTGTAACCTTTGCAAGTGAAAGGTTTCTAGCATAAAGGAAAAGCAGAAAATAAAAATTCATTTACCACCGAATTCAAGTGATTTATCATTTGTTAATTGTGAAGTTTGAACTATACATATCACCAATTTATAAGGAACACTTGTTTTTGGAAGAAATATGACTTGGATATGAAAACTATTATTAAGACAGTTTAAATGTTGGTACTGCTGGGGTGTTGGTAAATACGAATGGAAAGGTCACATTGTAAAATTTTCTGCCATCTCTTTTGCTTCAACCGACAAGAACTGTTGTGTTTTTTTTTTCTCAATCAATTTTAGATATTTTATTGCACTAATAGTTGTTAACAATGCCCCTAAGTGCTATACAGTAACACTAAGGTTCCACCCTGTCTTGTTAATTACTAATAAAACGAGGAGATTTCATAAGCAAACTTCCTATATTCATATATTATGAGTAAGTTGCAATTCACAGAGTAATTCTACATACATGTATACATGTTTGTTAGCACATGATAGATATTAAGAAAACGGATCGTTGGCCGTCTTTTGTTTAAATTCTAATCTCAGGTTTTAAAACAAGCATTGTTTATAATTGTTTGCGATGAAAGGTCAGTTTTATTGAATTTATCACCATTTCTTCAGTACTGTGGTTCTAAAGATGTAAGTCAAAACATCAGGAAGATCTAACTATATGTGATCCCCTCTTTTTAAATGCAATGTTCAATCTTTGAATAATTCAGTAAGCGGAACTTGAAGCTAAAGTATAACACCAGCTTCTATTCATTCTTCATTTGTAGTCCTTATTGTATATTATGCTGGCTTAAACGAATAATGGAATAACTAGGGAAGAGCACCACAAAACGTATCAACTATGTTGTCCACCAAGTATTGAAGCATCCTGGCGAAATTGGTTATAGAGACCTGCTAATTAAAGTAAAGAATTGTTGTTAAACAATGAACAATTTGTCCATTAATGAAACAAAATAGTTGTAGCAATGTTGACCCTTTATTTCAATGGAACAAGATTAGAAATAAAAGAGAGGCGAAGAATACAAAAGGGACATTCAAACTCGAAAATAAACTGACAACGCCATGGCTAAAAAAAGAAAAAGACAAACAGACAAACAACAGTACACAAAACAACATAGAAAACCAAAGACTAAGCAACACGAACCCCACCAAAAACTGGGGGTGATTTCAGGTGCTCCGGAAGGGTAAGCTGATCCTGCTCCACATGTGACTCCCGTCGTGTTGCTCGTGTAAGTACAAACCCGGTGATATGTCTAATTCGGTAGGTCACATTCGGGGGAAGGGGACGAGATTATAGATACCACAACTGGAACATATCCGTCGTCATCTGTGAAACAGATATTCCACAACGGTCAACTCGTGATTGCGTCCGAAAAATTTACGAAGGGATGATTTCAACTTCACCACTTGGAACTCTTGGTTTAATAGCTTCCTTGTGAGCAGCAACCCTCTATCAAGAAAATCAAGTTTTCAATCTGACTTTGAATCCTTAAAAATCTCTTTATCTCTCAATCGATGGATCAAATCTTGACGGAAGACAAGATTAATGATAACTTGATAAATGTTGCTTTCAAAGCAATAATTTCTTGGATAATTTGTCACAATTCGTGGATTTAATACAGATATAGAAAATGGGAATTCATTTCATTGTAAAAATATGCATCTCCCTCATGCAAAGCTGTGGTTCCTTACCCGCATTTAACTTAACTTTTGCTCTTGACGTTTGTATTAGGTTTTAAATTTTCAATTATTTTGGCTTCGAGCATAACTGAAGAGACATTCTCTTTCGAAATGCATATCTTGTGAAGTAAAATTGATACCGTACATGTTTTAATTGTATGTCAAGTGAGTTTTTGCTCCATGCAGAAGAGACTTCGAGATGAAGATCAGCAATAAAAGCTTTTCTCTGATATACATCATTTCCAATATATGAGAAAAATAAGTTTAGAGGTAAAAAATAATTTAACCTAGAGAATTGAGAAAAGAAATTTATAAACTTCAGCATGAAAAAAAAATAATAATATTAGTAGCAAAATCGATTATAAAGCAAACGAAGATTCAAAACTATAAAAGATAAATTTGAGGACAAATATGCTACATAAATATACCTGCAAAACTTTTAAATGGTATAGTGATTCACTTGCTGTTAATTTTTTCTCCTCCTGAATATATATATGGAATATTTACATCTAGACGATTTCGGAGTAAGAACAAAGACTCATCAGCTCGGAGTCAGAATAAAATGTCCGGGTAGGATTTAATTCCGCACACCGTTACCTTATGAACGAGTACGTTAAAATTCGACACAGAGTTTCGGTTAATTGCAAAGCAGGATGCCTATTCATAACACATTATTCGTCCTAAATATTTGCAACTCGACGTATTAAAAACACAAACATATTCATCGACCAGTCCATTCATTTATTCATTTAACAATAAAAATGAAGACTTTCAGCAGTCTCTGTTTTGTATAAAAGCACGTTGTTCAAAGCGATTTAGAACTGGACATTTTCTTTGTTGGAGACTTTATTTTGAGTTCTAAAACTTTGTTTCATCTTTTGATACATGTACGTTATAGGACTACTTAAGCTTTTAGATTGAACTTAATTTTTTTTTTACATTATTTAGACATAACACACAATTAAGTCTGTTTTTGAAAATAAGGTTCGAATGTCTACTTATTCTTTCAATGATAGTTAGATTATTAAAATAGTAACACAACAAACAAATACGAGAGAGGAAACTGTCAATTGAGATCGATATATATATATATATATAGATTCCGGTGAAATAAAATTGAAAACATTTTGTACGTTAAATAAAACGGAACTACAAAACAATTGATCACAGGAAATATAAATGTACTAAATCTTGACAAAACAAAAGCACCGTCCTGCTATCTTGCATTGCCCACATATTATTCTGTCCAATGACTATTTTATGCAGTTGAAGTAATGAAGCTGTTTACTGAAAGAGTACTGGTATATACATGCCTATGTATCGTATTGTTTCTTATCGGATCGAATATGTCTGGTAAGTTTTGTATCTCATTTTGTTCACCTTTAGGTATACTTTTTTATTCTAAATATAATCAATATCTAGTAAGTTTTGTATCTCATTTTATTTTACAAACAACTTCACACTAAAAATCGAGATTTTCAATGAAATTAATAAAATTATTTTCGTAGAATGCTGTATAAATAGTGCCTTTTTATAGAATGATATTGTAAGTCAGATTAGGAGAGATTAAAGAGACAGACAATTTGTGGAAGATTTAGATTTTATATTTTTTTAAAAGAGTTAAAAGAGAGTGAAAATCCCAAAGGAGCAATCGAAAATCATAAGTCTAATAAAAACAGATAACATCATGGCCAAAAATAAAAACGACGATATGGCAAACAACAGTAACAAAATATTTCACAGAAAACGAACGATAGAACAATACAAATCCCGATGATATCCGTGGTGATCGCATGTGTTCCGGATGGATAAGCATTTCCTCCTCCACATGTGGTACCCATCGTGTTGCCATGCAAGTAAAAGTACGATTATAATTCGCATTCGTTTATGTCACAATCGACGATAAGGACGGAATTATGGTTATGACAAGTCGAACATACCCATCGTCAACTCCGCTTTTCGACACAAATATTCCATTAAGGTGAACCAAACCATCATGGCGTCCGTGAAGAAGTTTGATATTTTAATTACAAGCATAACTGTCGTCTTATTAAGGATGAAGTACTAATATTAGCTTCCTCTATTTACAATCCTATGCATTTCCTGTCATTTCAAGCAGCTGTTTGAAATGTTACATTATAAAGATGCAAATGAAGCATCTTTTCATAAGTCCTTCTTGGTTATTATTTTGCACAGAAACAACAGAAGATGTTAAATATGTAAAAATTGGGTCATCTTTAACTTTTAACTGTCCTTTCAAGTCAGCCTCAAAACCAGTAGTTTGGAGAGGTCCACCAAACCTCATCATTTACAGTATAGATGACAAAGTCAATAAGAACATTTATAACCAACATCAATTAACTGTGACTGAGGATTCTGTCAAAGGTCAATACATTCTCCGAATTATGAACTGCACAGAAGATTGCAGCGGTATATTCCAATGTGATACTGTCATCGATGGTTTAGCTGTTGAACAGGAGTTCTATGCAGCCTTAATAGGTATGTTTTGCTGATAAATTAAAGATTGGCGACAAATTGGTTCGCTGTTTGTGTGTGGCCGGCGTGGTTATGTGTTGAAAACATAGTATTCTAGGTTTTGCTAAGATATTTTAATTAAAAAACAATTCAAGTAAATTTTACACGTTTTGTTTTGAAGTTTTTCAGAACTTACTTTTTCAATTTTACTTATTCCTATCAAGAAACTGTATAAGTCATATCAATTTGAGCCTGAGCATTAAAGGCAACAAATTAAATGTTCTATTGATATCGTTTATCTATTGTTATCACATTTTACTGTGTTTACAGACTTCCAATATGTTTTACAAGATATAATTCTACAATTTGAAATATTTTTAGAGTCACCTGCATACATGCAGATAACCACGTCGAATTCTTCAAATTATATTTATGCAAGCGAAGGCTCAGAAATTGAAGTAGAATGTGAAGTTGAGTGTGGTAATCCACCAGGGACATTGACATGGGTGCAAGATGAATATATAGTATTAAAAACTAAGGCATGCTACAACACAACTTATATGTCTACGGTAATAAATAGTAGCCGGTCTGATCACATGACAACTCTAACATGTATAGCCGAGAATAGTTATGATCAGCTTGAGATGAACAGAACAATTTATTTAAATTGTACGTATTTTTGTATTTCAGTTAATGCCATATTATAGATGATGGCATAAAATTATGAATTTTTCTTGTCCACCAACATGCACATCCTACATATAAAACTAGTTTATATCAATAAAAGGTGTTGTGAGGTATACATGAACGAAACTACCAAACTCCCAAACAGTGTTAACGTCGTCTTTGCTACGTAGAAGTATTGTGTAAGTTAAGCAGAGCAACGGTATTACTGTTTCAGAGTTTGTGATACTACAACCAATCTAGAGATGAATATATATATATATAACCAGTCTAAAAGGGTACAACATCACCAAACAATGACAATAAACGAACAAATGTAACTATAAATATTTCGGATAACAGATATCCTTCATCAATATGAGCACGATGTAAAATGAATCAGATAAATCTATTCTGATTATTAAACTATAGCAATCTTGAATTCTATACAATAAAAAAAGTGAAACAGTTTCACCCGAACATCATATGTAGAGACGCTAATAAATTTTTAAAATTTCCAAAAAACGACTCAAAAGACATGCCTAAAATGAAAAAAGTAATTATAGATATGAACTGGCACAACTTTAAAATTCCAAAATGACGTTAGTTAAGATGTTACAACAACTGCGTGTAAATACATTCCCAAAAGAACAGCACTGATCGATATAAGCTGGTAAACTATGACAAACAGAGGCTGCGTATTTATCATTCCAAATAAATAGCAGTTTTATAATGAAAAGAAAAAATAATAGTAAATTTGGGCTAAGGTTAAAAGTTGGACGTGGATGCGTACTTGTATATCCCTACCAAATGAAAAGAACCCTGATATTTAAACTAGTAAAAATTCCAAAATTCCAAAAGAATCCTTAAAACTGTGAGAGTCAGTAAAGGAAGCCGGAGTAACTGGAAACAAATGATGTCAGGAAAATGAGTGATGGTAGGGAAAATGAGTGACTCATTCTATGTTTTTTCATTTATGCCCTCTGGGGAAACTGTCCTTAGCTTTCTTATCCAAAACCTTTCCCGAGCAAGTCTTTCGGCCCTTGAACAACCATCGTTGTGGTCTATGATTGTGATTGTAAGGTTTTTGAGATCAGCTTGGGCGTGCCCAGGTGATCTCAAATGACGACTTACGGGGAGGTCGGGCTTGCAGGTGTAGTCACTTCGATGACCATTCATGCGTTTGTTGAAAGGCTGTTCTGTCTCGCCAATATACTGCATGCCACATCGACACTGAAGAAGGTATACAACATTCTGTGTTTTGCAAGTTACATTACAAAATATAGTGTACACAGACCCAGTGGAGTGGCAAGTAAATGTTTGAGTATTCAGTATTTGTTGGCAAGTCAGACATCGTCTGTTACCACACGACTTGCACCATCCTGCAGTTGAACAGCTTTTATTAGAGGAGACGTCAGCTCTCACAAATAAGTCTTTCAGACTTGCTGGTCTCCGAAAAGCTAAGACAGGAGGATTGGGAAAGATCTTGGATAATTTTGGGTGATCGGCAATAGTTTGCCAATTGGCACGGATCAAACGTGAAAGGTTAGTGAAGGCGGGATTGTATGTTAAAACAAACGGAACTATTTTGTTGCGCCTCTTCTGTTTGTACTGTAATAGGTCATTGCGGCTGTTGTTATTAGCACGCGCAAATCCCTTATCTATGTCCAATTTCTTATAACCTCGTTTGGTAAAAAAACCGCGAAGTTCCTGTAACCTTTTAGTGACAGCCTCCTCAGAGGAGCAAATCCGCTTTACTCTGAGAGCTTGACTGTACGGGATACTTTTTGTACAGTGTTTGGGGTGACAGCTTTGGGGAGAAAGGTACTGATGTTTATCTGTAGGTTTACAGTAGAGATCTGTTGATATGCCACCGTCCTTAATAGATGTAGTAGTGTCTAAGAAAGATATTTTGGAGTCGGAAATTTCATATGTAAATTTAATTGACTGGTGTGCGTTGTTTGCATGCCTGATAAAATCATCCAATTTTTGTTGGGATTCAATCCATTTCATGTCAACATCATCGATGAAACGGAACCAAGATAGAGGTTTGGATAAAGATGTTGAAATAATTTGTTTCTCTAATTTTCCCATGAAAATATTGGCGTACGACGGTGCCATTTTCGTCCCCATCGCTGTCCCGTTTATCTGAAGGTAATTTTCACCATTAAAGGTGAAATTGTTGCATTTCAGAACCAGAGTGAGCAGCTGGACTAAACATTCGGTAGGTGGTTCTAAGGTGTTGCGAGAGTCCCATATTTCCTTACACGATTGTATTCCGTCATCATGAGGTATGTTGGTATACAATGAGGTGACATCTAAAGTGACAAGGAGGGTTTCCGGAGGAAGAGGGTTCATGGATTCCATTTTACGAAGATAATCTGTTGTGTCTTGAATATGAGAAGGAAGATTTTCTACATGAGATCTTAAATGAAAGTCTACGAATTCCGAGATTTTCTCAGTCGGGTGGCCGTTTGCGGATACAATGGGTCTACCAGGGTTGTTAACCTTGTGTATTTAGGGAAGAAGATACAATCGACCAGGCTTGGCGTTCTCTGGTTTTAAATATCCGATTGTATCCTCATCTATGTGACAGTCATCGTGCATGGTTTGTAACGCAGTAATAATTTTGGAACTAAACTCGGAAGTAGGGTCATAGTCAATCTTCTTATAAAATCTCTCATCAGAGAGCTGACGCTCTGCTTCCGCGATGTAGTTAGTTTTGTCCATTATCACAACGGCACTTCCCTTGTCTGCTGGTTTTATCACAATATCATCTCGGTTTCTCAGCGATTGTATGGCTTTTTTCTCGTCAGAAGAGGTGTTATAAAATGACGAGTACTTGTTGCTAGCTAGATGAACAACATCCGATTTGATTTTATCGATAACATCTTCCAGTGTAGCAGATTTACTAGGTTTAGGAATCCATGAACTCTTCTTTTTAAAATGCGGAATTCTGATTTCTTCCTCCGAGTCAGACGTGTCTGAGTCTTCCTCATTATCCTTGTTACCAAAATATTCTTTGATTCTGAGGGTTCTGGCAAAGTTATTAAGGTCATCTTCCAGTTTCATATTATCTATGTTACTGGGAGTAGGGCAAAAATTCAAACCCTTAGATAAGACTTTAATTTCGTCCTCAGTTAAAGAGACTGTTGATAAATTGACAACCGTGTTGTTGGAATTGACCGGAATTTGACTTTTTCTTCGAAATCTACGGTTGCGAGGCTTTTTATTTTTATTTGAATTTTTTGAAGGTCTGATTAAAGGGTGATTAATTTGCACACCATCACGTTTAAATTTGTTAATCTGTTTGACGTGGAGCTTATGTGATTCAATACGTTTGATATCACCAAGACGTACTTGAATTTCGTCAAGTTCAAGATCAGACAATTGTTCACGAGATCGGCAGTGCAAGTTATCACGAAGTTTATATAAATAATTTACTTGATGAATTGCTTCTAGGCGTAAAAGATCCATCAGACTAAAAGAACTGTTGTATAGAATGTTATTCCATCTATGGAAAAATCTGTTTGACTTTTCTCCTGTTGTAAGTGGCGAAGCTTTTAAAACTAACCCTTTCGGAATAATTCTTTGATCAATGTAGATTTCTAAATTTGAAATATGATGTTCTGTTTTGATAATTTTGATAGTAAAAGATCTTAATTTCTTAAAATAAAATTGCAAATGCATGGTGGAATATGCAGTAAGAATATCGGATCGAGTGAACACACTCAATGCAGACTACAAAAAAGGTAAAAATATTAAATGACTGAATAATAGCCAACGATAAATCTTACGGGGCGATGGATCATATAAATATGATACAGTACACTACAAAATATAATATATAACCAGTCTAAAAGGGTACAACATCACCAAAAAATGACAATAAACGAACAAATGTAACTATAAATATTTCGGATAACAGATATAACTTGCAAAACACAGAATGTTGTATACCTTCTTCAGTGTCGATGTGGCATGCAGTATATTGGCGAGACAGAACAGCCTTTCAACAAACGCATGAATGGTCATCGAAGTGACTACACCTGCAAGCCCGACCTCCCCGTAAGTCGTCATTTAAGATCACCTGGGCACGCCCAAGCTGATCTCAAAAACCTTACAATCACAATCATAGACCACAACGAGGGTTGGTCAAGGGCCGAAAGACTTGCTCGGGAAAGGTTTTGGATAAGAAAGCTAAGGACAGTTTCCCCAGAGGGCATAAATGAAAAAACATAGAATGAGTCACTCATTTTCCCTACCATCACTCATTTTCCTGACATCATTTATTTCCAGTTACTCCGGCTTCCTTACTTGACTCTTACAGTTTTAAGGATTCTTTTGGATTTTTTGAATTTTTACTAGTTTAAATACCAGGGTTCTTTTCATTTGGTAGGGATATACAAGTACGCATCCACGTCCAACTTTTAACCTTAGCCCAAATTTACTATTATTTTTTCTTTTCATTATAAAACTGCTATTTATTTGGAATGATAAATACGCAGCCTCTGTTTGTCATATTTTACCAGCTTATATCGATCAGTGCTGTTCTTTTGGGAATGTATTTACACGCAGTTGTTGTAACATCTTAACTGACGTCATTTTGGAATTTTAAAGTTGTGCCAGTTCATATCTATAATTACTATTAGCGTCTCTACATATGATGTTCGGGTGAAACTGTTTCACTTTTTTTATTGTATAGAATTCAAGATTGCTATAGTTTAATAATCAGAATAGATTTATCTGATTCATTTTACATCGTGCTCATATTGATGAAGGATATCTGTTATCCGAAATATTTATAGTTACATTTGTTCGTTTATTGTCATTTTTTGGTGATGTTGTACCCTTTTAGACTGGTTATATATTATATTTTGTAGTGTACTGTATCATATTTATATGATCCATCGCCCCGTAAGATTTATCGTTGGCTATTATTCAGTCCTTTTATATATATATATAAAAAATTGGACAATAGATAAGGGATTTGCGCGTGATAATAA